GTATTCTCTTTTGTTTGTTTGTTTACTTTGTTTGTTTACTTTACCTTTGTCTACAAATTGTAAAATTTTTTGATAATAAAGGCATTTATTTATTAACTTTGCCACGATCACAAAGGAGACGAGGATTAGTAAATATATGCAAACAACTGGATCAACAAATAACGAATTTTCGAGCTTACTTTCACAAAGAAGCATTAACTTCAACTTTGCATAAAGTAATATGCGCAGCAGCCGACTCAACTCCCCTCCTGTTGAACCAACATGAAGTTCATACGCACCATCAAACTAACGAGGAAAAGATGCAGATATGGAAAGAGAAGCACTTGCATGGGAGGCACATGAATGATGCGGATCGAGATAATATCGATACTTTGGCGTCGAACTATCGGTTAGTATCGGGACAGCTATTTCCTGAAACCAAGGGCTTCGTAATGGCTATCCAAGACCAGGTAATTGCAAGCAGAAACTACCTAAAGTATATTGTGAAAGATACGACAATCGAAAATGACAAAAGCCGATACGGATACCAAACCACGGAAACCATCCAACATATCATAGGCGGATGTCAGATGTTTTCTGCAATCGAATATAAAGCGAGACACAATTCTGTAGCGAAACACCAACAACAGCAAGCGGAAAAACTCCCGTATTATAAATATGTTCCAGAAACCATTTTAGAAAATAAAAACTATAAATGTATTGGGATAGAACCATCCTTACAGATCATACAGTAAGTCATAATAGACCGGACATCCTATTAATCGATAAGGCTAAGAAAAATATAATCATTCTCGACGTGGCCATTCCTAACAACAACAATTTGGGTAGCAAGCATTGTGAAAAGATTGCCAAATACCGAGATCTCCAGGAACAAATTAAAAAACAGTGGAAAATAGAGACCTTATCCCGATAATTGTATCAACCCAAAATATTGTATTTTGTATTGTATATCCCAAAACAACTAAAGAAGAACATTAGTGAGTTGGGGCTCAACGCAAATATATATAAAAGTATGCAAAAAGCAACCTTGCTGGCGACCGCGCGAACAACTAGGAAGTATTTAGGTTACCCATCTAAGCCTCAAGAAGCCTATACCATAGAAAGGGTTTCCACCGAGCTCAATCCCTCTGATATCTAATATCTGGGATGAGTGAATGTTCCCCTCAAAGGGAGTGTGAATGCCATAATGGCTAAGTCGGATAAAAAATAATAAATTGCTCGATCAAACAGTAACTGCATTGTTAATAACATATAAATGGTTCCTTCCTCAGTTTGCATAGTATTAAGTGATACTTCCGAGTCAGAGGGAGAAGTAAGACATGTTTGCAAGTAAGACATGTTAAGACATGTTTGCAACACATCAGAAGAGTGGAAAGAAAATGATTTTGCTGGTTGTGTGGAAAATTATTATTGTACACAAAAGCGTGACAACTGGATAATGATAAACGTTGGCTTCATGAGTCTTGTCTTAAAATACGTAAATATCATCGGCTTTATAACGAAAAAGCGTATCTCGAATTGTGGAAATTTTGAGATATCAACTTCAAGACATGCCCAACGGGTCATTTTTTAGCATGAAAATTTGGCCGTATCTCAATATTATACCTTATTTGTTTAAAAATTTGCTCTATGCTAAATAATAGAATTAATAAATAATTAGAATTATTTAATTATTGCTATTCTCAAACGTGGCAAAAACGAGATAAGCCTTTTCGTCATAAAGCCGACGGGATGTGAGATAGATGTGGCAAAAATGCTGCTCTTACTTCTCTTTACGTTAGCTAAGCTATTTTCTGGAAATCTATTTTATAGTTTATCTCTCACCATACAGTATCCGGCAATAGTGCGTCGGGCATCTGTAGCTCCTAGAATAAAAAAAACTTGCTTACTTCTTTTGTAAACCCTTATTGTTAACTATACCGCATAAAAAATTCTAAAATGGATAGGTCAGGTGATCGAGGAGGCCCATGCAATTAGTCCACCTCTTCCTATCCCTGCGTTTGTATAATTATGATATAAATAATTTTTAAAATTTCTTTTATTATGAAGGGTGGGAGGTGGTGTGTCATACTGAAAGTCATGTTGGAACCATTCTATTGATGCGCGAGTATCTACACGCTTTTCTTCATTTGAAAAATTCATATTTACAATTTTTGTTTATTATAATTTACAAATTTTGGATGTGACAGCTTAACATTTCAGAGAGCAACGGCGATTGAACTTGTTTTCATGGCTAACTAAGTGAAATTGTTTAAAAATGATAAGAAATGGCTATAACTCAGTAATTTTTCGAAGAAAAGATATTATAGCTTATATCACTAAAAAGTTTAAAAATGGCGCTTTTTATGAAGTCATGGCCAACTATGGTTTCCATTAAAAAAAACATATGTTTGTGTCATATATCAAAAATGACAGGCTTTAGAAAAAAAATGGAGGACACGGTCTCATTAAGGATGTGATTATCTACAACTTTTATCTGAAAACTTTTTGTCTAAAATAGCTTATAATGGAATTAGAGGCAATTTTTAAAATAGCCAAAATTTGTTTTTTTCGAAATATCTAGTAAGCCAATAACTTTTTCAAAAATCTGAAAGGCGAATATTTATGACCCCACAAAACTGCAATTCTTTCCCCATTTAACCGACTCTCTATCTCCAGTAGTTTCCGAGATACCCATAGAGAACATCGTAGGAAACGTATTTTTGTATATTAAACCCTGTACTTTTCAGCCTTCCTTAAAAAAATATTAAAAATACAAGAACTGTCTTGAAATCAAAAGTATATTAGATATTTACTTTGTATGGTCTGTACTTACTTAAATTTACTTGGTAATCGTAAATCATACGGGATGTTAGGTTAGGTTTGGTTTAAAATTCTACGCCAAACTTTCTAAAATATAAAATAATTTTTCTTCGTCTTTTTTTAAATGGAATATATATTATCTTCTAAAGAGATGTAGAATTAAAAAATGATTTTTTTTTATTTAGAGTATTTCAAAATGTTTTACAGTTTCGCAGATATTCGCGGTTTTATATTTCACATGGCATTATCCACAGTAAATTTTTATCAAAGCCACCCAATGATTCTTCTCTCGTATTTTATCGTTGAAAGACCAATATGAAATAAAACTGCGTGTATCTGCGAAACCATGAAAAATTTTGATAAACTTCAAATACAAAAAATGTTCATTTTTTAATTCTCCATCTAATAAATAAATAATATCACGAAGTGAAAAAAAATGAAGAAAAAGTACTTTACATTATAGAAAGTTTGACGTTAGAATTAATTAGTAGTTAGAATTCACAACACCTTGTATGATTTTTTATAGCTATAGTTAAGTATAGACCATCTAAAGTAAGTACCGAAGATAGTTTTGATTTCAGGACAGTTCTTGTATTTTTCATATATTTTTAAGAAGGGTTTAAAAATATATATTTTTTATTTATTTATTAATATCTCTGAAACTATCGAAATATATTTACTCATATCTAGGATAATGTAAAGTGATCTGAAGGAAAGCCAAAAATGCAATAATATACAGGGTGTCCGATTTAAAAAACATCATCCCGATCTAGTCACACTTTTTTGAGCGACCCTATAGAAGTTAAAACATTTTCCTGAAATACATCTTCGTACTAACTTAAAGTGTGCACTTAAATAAAATTCTCAAGTTTTTTTATTCTAGGAGCTCCAGATGCCTGACGCACTATTGCCACACCTTGCATAAAAGTAAAGTAAAGATTTCAGTTAACGTTTCCTTTTTGCTGCCAGGGCTAATCTGAACGGGGCCTACTTTGTTTACGCGGAATCCGAACCGCGGTCCTCGGCCATATCATGGTCAATAGCCTACCAACTTGGCAAGTGTCTAAATCAACTCTTACTCAGGAGATATCCGATCTCATCCGGCCTCGAACCGGGCGGCGTGAGTGAGCAGTGTGTCAATAGATTTTACACTTGTGCCTTTTTTTGAACAACAGCACGATACAGAGTTTCGAACCGGTCACCCGTCCATCCACTAGTATCGCCTTACGTCGCTTAACTTCGGTGTTCTAATGTGAACCGGTGTTTCGACGTAGCTGGGCCGTTGCCCCACCCTGTAGAACTTAAAATGCGCACATTTAGGGTTAGTTGGATCGTAATGCGACTTTCTTGTTTAATTTTTCTCTGAAAATTATATGTATTTGTTATTTGAGTTTTTAGTAATAATTATCAATAGAGTTGGTTAAAACGTTTGTACTAAATAGTTTTTTGTACTAGAAAAGTTTTTATTTGCAAAAAAAATAACGAAAATAAAAAAGGTGTTCTATCTCCTACTCCCAGAATTACCCTATATTATTATTAATTGTTATTATAATGATTATATTTTTCCTCTAAATTAAAAATAATCCTTCTCTACAGGTTTTTAGATCAGATTTATCGATTTTGTTCATATTAATTATTTATTTGTTTCTTAAGTTGTAAGAGTTGTAATCCTCTTCGTATCCAAATTGAGTTCAAATGAAAAGGGATAAAACATTTCCTTATGTGTACTTTAACCCAGTCCTTTTTTACGTATATTTTTAAGTTTAGGTATTTATGTAAACCTTTGATGTCATAATTTTGAATTACAGTAAATATTAAAGGAAGCAATATACCGTATTTCTTTAAATGTTCTAGGCATTAAGACATTAATAACAATTAAGGTAGTAAAATAATTCCGAACTTCCATTGTCACTTATTTTAACTTGCACTAGTTCCGGTCAGATGTATCGTCTAATTGTTACCAAGTATAAACTAATTTAAAATTTAAATCCAAAAACTACTGAGCAAGTATACCCCGCTTGGGTCGACGTTTATATGCAAAGACATCTAAATATAGGTAGACAGAACACTCCATTCATAAAACTCAATTTTTTAGAATCATACATGGTTTGACACTTTTATGAGAGTTAAAAAGAGATGGGTACATAAATATGACAACACGGTTGAGTTTCGCCTATCTTGCTGTCATTTCGCTCCATCAGTGGCGTGACGGTGGTGTGGTGTTTTTTATCCAAAATTGTAAAAAAAGTTATTTTGTGTATTTTAATTTAAATTTTAATTTGTAATATACGTGGTAATATCGATAATATACAATGTAGGGGCGTTTGCACCAAGTTTTTTAAGCAAAACTTAACATTATGTTTAGCTTATTTTCTTGAACTATGCTTTAATCTAACTTGAATTTATATTTAAATTAAGCGGTCAAATTTCCAGGCTAGTGGCCACTTAACCTGACTAAGGCACAAAAAATTTGTTTTACGAGGAAGTATAATTATTTTTATTATATTCCTTTGAGAAAGCTAAAAAGTGTATTATGATACCTCTACGTAAGTTCGATGATTACTTTTGATATCTTAGAGACGTCGATCAGTAGGTATATTCATTGAAAATGGATTTCCTCAAGAGTGGATGTAAGGAAAAATCATATTTCCAAGAAATGAACCTCCTTAAGTCTTTAGGACAGAGACTTTTAAATGACACTGTAATATATATCCTCGGTTTAATTGAACAAAATCTAGAATATCAATATGAGAGGTAAGTTGGAATTCTAGTAAATCTAATGTAAGATAAATTAATTATATTTATACTTTGAACCATCTTTCTTTACTATTTCCAGAAACAACAGCAAAAGTGTTTTAAATCAACTCTTGTGTATATTAAGATTCTACACTTCAGGGGCTATGTCCAGTCTACAGCTTTTTTTATGGGCATGTATGTTTGTTTCTACCACTTCTCGTATTATGTTACAAAAGTATCCCATGAACTTCCACTGCTTTACCCTCAGTTCATAAAAATGCCTGAATAAGAAACTCTAGTTTTAGAGCAGGAACAATTTTATAGTATATTTGGGTTTCCTTGGATTATAGGGATAGTTGATGGAACACAATGTAAGAAAACATTCACCTGGTAAGTACCTATATGTTATATTTTCTTCAATATTTATCAGCACAAGATTTCTTATACTTTACAGGGGGTAATGATGGAGAGGTATTTAGAAATAGAAAAGCATTATTTTCCCCAACATTTAAATTACTGGAAATGGTAGTCTTAAAACTATAGACAATAGACATGATTGCTTGTTGGCATGGGTCTGTGCATGAAGCCACCATTTTTTGGATATTAAGGACGTATTAAGGACCCGCTTGGAGACTCAAAAATGTGACTTTTCAAATTAAATCCTGCTTGGTTAGTGGTCCATATATTTACTTATTGTTAGATCATTTATATAAAATATATTCCTTAAATATTTGAGTAGGTATTCAATTTAGAAATATATTACGAATAAGATGAATTGAAAGACATTTTTTAAAATTAAATGTGAAAATATTCAAAGGGTTCATATACTCTATTAAATTATTTTATTATCTGTTATAAGGTGATAGTGCATACGCATTGAGGGGATATATGCAGAAAGAGAGCTGAAGAACTGTATTACTGAAGAAATGTTTCAGAATTATCGGAATATGGAAACGCCACTTTCCAATAAGTTTTATGGTATAAGACCAAAATTGCAAACCACAATGTCAGTTATTGTTGCACAACAGTGAGTTAAGAAAAATATTATCTGTTTAATTATAGAACACAATTTAAAAATTTTAATGTATGTACTTAAATTTTTAGATTTTGTTGTTTCAATGTGCTACACAATACAGCCAGAATGATACCTGAACAAGAGCTGCCGCCGTTAGATGAAATAAATATGGACCAAATTAATAAGAAGAGAAATAATAAATTATTTTGAAAGATTAGGGCAATATTTTTTTAACTTATTCTAAACATGTTTTTATGTTGCTAATGTTGCTGTTGTTTTTTTGTTTTTGAGTATTAATTTCTATAAAATATCATTATTAAATGTCTTTTATTCAGAAATAACATACATTACAGTTTTTACATTACAATATAAACAATAATTAAAATTATTAAATAAGTTCTCTTTAAGAACTTCACTGTTCTTTTTTTATTTCAATGTCTACAAGCAACCCTTTTTTTCTTTAGCTTATGTTCTTCTCTGTTTTTAATACTACTACTTTGAATTTTGTCCATCTCCATATTACAAAAGAACATCCTTTTGTCTAGTAAATTACTATCTTCCCTTTTATTCAGTTTCTTTGTAACCATCAGTATTGTTTTGAGACTGAAAAAATATCTAATTATATTGAATTCTCTTAAAAGTAATAAAAAATTCAAAAACACAATGAAAGGTTAGTACTTACAATACCAGTACTCCTATTAGTTTTAGACAATCTATCACCATCGTATGTTTTTTAATCCCACAATGCTCTTCTCATTTTTACATTAATTGAATATATTATTATCTTCCGTTTTTGTTTTTTGTATATGTAGACCTCCACCAGTTAGTTAAAATATATTTTAATAATTGCCTTTCTTTTACATAGATTTAAACATATGTTGTAAGCTGTTTTTCTTTGCGACTCTATGATTGGCCTTTCTTTTAAAGTAAGTCCAATAATATACAATTAAATTATTTCAAAATTACTAAAAAGTATGTTGTTCTTATATTTTGATAATTTTTTATATGAATATTTTGTAAATCCATTCTGAGAGTTAAAAATATCAAAAATATTGGGCCAGTTTATGTATCCCTTATAAAATTCTATGTTTTCGGTGAATAAAATTACAATGTTAAAGCAAAGGATAGTAGCAGAGGATTGGATTTTTGTGTGGCAGGTCCTTTTAACATTCTTTCAAAAATACTTTGTGCTGGCCCAGCTAGGGAAGCCTAAAAAAACATATATTATCTCTGTTAATATTATATCTCTATATTATTATTAGTCTTTTTTAGACACATCCAAATTCACTAAAGGGTTTTAAAATTTAGACCTGGCCTTGTCATGGAAATTAGAACCTTCCATTAATCGTATTTATGCCACTGTCATATGGATTAGTATATCATTCACAAAATTAAACCAGAACCAAATTTAAAACTTGTTAATGAATCTTGGCAGATTTTGGCATAATGGCTTTAGGACTAAAGTAATAAATGGCTGATAACTTTACATTATTAGAGTTCCCCTCCGCCACTCAGATATATACATATATAGTGCGTCCAAGATAACAATTATAAGCATTGAAATCTCAGAAAGGTAAGAGATACAGGGTCAATTAGAAATTGCGTTTAGCGATTTTTGTTTTTTTTGTATATATTTATACCTTTATGGTCAATTCAGATGATTCACTTATCAAAGATTTTTCTTTTAAGTAATCAATTAATTGATGCATTAATGTTATTTTATTTTTCAATCTTCTTAGACCCATTTGTAAAGTATGTATTTTTCATTTTCTTTGTTCCCAAATTTTTATGAGACTTAAATTTCTACATAATATCATTATTATACCTCATTAACATACTTCTTTCTGAAATTAAAATCTTTTGCACAATTTTACTTGAGATACAGGGTGGCGCCTCTCATATGCTACCAAGGAGTACGACAGTTTGTATTGAAATTAAATTTTGGGGGCATATGTAGGTTAATTTAGAGAATTTAAACATATAAATGTATAAAATATGTGCTTTTTAAAAATAGAGAGTTCTACAGGGTGTCACCAAAAAAGTTACACAACAAAGTTTTGTTTTTTTGTAATGTAAATTTGTTTTTTTTTGCAAAGTTTTGTTTTTGTAATATTTGATTTTTGGATTCTATGAGAAAAATAAAGGTGAATTTCATTATTGGACTAAAATGTAAGGTTTTTAACATATTTAAAATTTTGTACTTGAAATCAGATTACAACAGGACTTAAACAGTTATACAGGGGTGACAAAATTAATATTGAATATTGACCACTTTTAAAAGCAAGTTTCTCTTTTATTTCAAATGGAACACGCAGAATACTATTCTGATCTTTTAATTGTAGTGTGCATTCATCAATTAATAGAATGCTTAAATGTCAAATGTATGAATGTGTAAAGTACCATTTAGGTAGCTGTTACTGAAATTTAAAGTTTATTCATTATTTTCACCAAATGTGATATGACAAGCCTTACATTTTAGTATTTTAGACATATGCTTCTTTAATGAAACTCACCTTTATTTCTTTCCTAGAATCCGAAAATCAATTATGTAATTTATAGGGTGTTCCATTACAAAAAAAAAACTTTGATGCGTAACTTTTTCTGGGGACACCCCGCAGAACTCTTGATATTTCTGTAAAACGCTTTCTATTATCCTTCATATGCTTCCAAAATTACATTTCAATATAAACCACTATTCTCTTTGGAGCCTCCGCGTCGTATGAGAAGCGCCACCCTGTATATAATGTACAGATAATTTTTACCTTTTTCTGATAGGACTTCTTGAGCCAATAAATATCCAACTATTGAAAGATCAGAAAATGAGAATTATCTTACTATGCTGTAAACAAAAAAAAACATTAATTACTTAATTTTTCAATAAAAATAACTATATTTTTTGTTCTTTAAATTTTTCGTAAATACTAATAATTTCCTTCTAATGGTATTATTAAATTTATCATGGGAAGTTTAAACAAGAAGGTTTTCTAGTGCAAAGAGCAAAAGCTCATGCATATAAAATATATGTATGTAAACAATATTAAAATACCGTATGAAAAAAAATGGCGTCCAGTTGGCTGGGAAATGACGATCGATGACATTTCCCATATAAATTTACATATAAAATGACAGCGATCTTCATTTCATAGCCATCGCTGACTTGTATGGCTGGCGGTAACAATGAAATATTGAAAATCTGGATTTTATTTTATTTATATTTTCCTATTAATTTTTGAAAAATAGCGATAGCAATTTTGATATTCAAATTTCAGGTATTAACTACCTATAATAGCTGTTTTATTGGTACAGATATTAGCCATAACATCCACAATTTTTAAAACATTTATAGCGGTTTCGAATGTGTGTGTAATTCTAATTTCACAATCGAAAACGCTATCAATAACAAAATATACGCATTTTTGTAATAATCTACTATAGTTCTAAATAGTAGAGACGCCACTGTTAAAGCTAGAAAGACGTAATGTTACTTACCGCCGAAATATCAATCCAGGGGTAGAATAATCCACCTTTTTACAAATTATGCACTTGCGAACCACCGTAGATAGTTAAAATACTACTTTGAATAGTTTTCTTCGCAAAAAACGCAATAATTGCTTGAAAACCTGTTAAAAACCAAAAAATTCACAACCGCAAAGGAAATCTCGCAACAACGGCCTGTAAAACATTTGATGAATGAAACCGTCAAAAATCAGCGTAATTCCTACAGATTCCTACAATTTGTAGTAAAATCTCAACCACAACGATGCCAAGCGTTGCCACAGTAATTTCCCTAATATATTTTGATATAATAATTTAAACAGAAAAAGTAATTTCTAAAAATAATTTCAAAGGTATAATCTATGTATTTTAATTAAAATTATATACCTACACAAATATTTAGTTTAACGTATCTATCGTACCCAAAAAACATTAATAAGAATAATAACATTTTTAACAACAATACTACAATCTATAGGCGCAAGGGAAATCTGTCATCATCGATTTTTGTGCAACACGGTTCGTGATCGCGGTAAAATGTAAGTTGTTTTGTCTCCCTTTATTTAGATGTCTTTGTTTATATGTATAGGAGTGAATCGCTATGGCAAGCTAGTAAGTCAAAGAGAGCAAAAATGCGATGTATTTATTACACAACCACTTAATCTGACGCTAGATTCCATGCGCTTGGGAAAATACTTGCCTTCCGTCTTTATTCGGTACATCTTATTTTGCTAAGCGTGTTTACCGTACTCTTCGTCCACACAAAAATCGGCCTAGTACACTAACCATGATGCAATGACAGTTAGATAAGATATTGCGCATCTAGTGGGCGGAGCTTAACGCGTCATTCGGGTAGTAATCTTTCTCAAAACTACATTCTGTCGCTGGCGACACTGGTTGACATTTGAATGAACCAGCTGTTTGAATTTTCCACAAATCTCATTGGTTCATTTGCCGTGTGGCTGGCGACAGTACGCAGTTCTGAGAACGTGGCTTTCTTTATTCGGTTCATTTACGGCAATGTTTACGGCCTGTGTTTGGTGCGTGTTTTTTTAATGTTTGTATTTTTTGTTATAATAAATAAAAATATGCGTTGTGCTGTTGCCACCTACAACATGGATAATTAATCCAAATATTTCAATAAAGATATAAAGCTGTTTTGGTTTCCTAAGGACGATAATTTAAAAAATCAGTGGTTGCATGCTTGCAAACGTGGAGATAAAGTAAATACTGTACACGCTCGAATATACTCTTTGCATTTTACAAAAGACGATTATAAAATATATTTAAAAGCGGAACTGTTGGGGTATACTCCAAATAAGCAGCTAAAGCTTTTAAAGCCGGATGCTATTCTAACTTTAAATTTGCCAAACAAAGATGATTCCAAAGAAACAAAAAGGACTGATCGTCGATTAAAAAAATTGACTGCAACAGAAGTACGAGCGGTTCTTGATACTGAGTAAGTTTTCAAATTTAGTCCCACTTTAGTAATTAAGTGTACTTACTCGTCTTTTGGTAGTTTTAAAGATATTAATCTGAAATATCAGCTGACAGCAGGTTAAGTACATAAGTTGATAGTAACTTAACAGTCAACTTAAGATTTAGCTAGTATTTAAAATAATTATGTATTTTTTATAATTAGTGTACATATTACTAGTAACAATGAGGCTTGTTGTGCCTGTGACTGGTCTTCTCACGAAATATCCCCATCCTCCATTCAAATTACCCTTCCAACATTTGTAAGAGTAATACGATAGATAATACTATGACTAACAATTTGAATATTACCTGCTGTACTGAATAAGTTACCTGCTAAAAGAGACTTTGGGTAGGTAGTAGATAGTAGATAGTAGGTATTTAATAAATTTTATTAATTTCTAATAAACTATATTAACTACCCACTTAGTAACCCACCCAGCTATCGGAACTTAGGCCTATAAGCATATTGACCACTATGTCCAAAATAGTTGAAAGAATTCTGGAGGGACAGATCAGAAATTATGTTGATGAATACAATTTATTACCTTCTTTTCAGTCCGGTTTTCGCATAGATTATAGCTGCGCCACAGCTCTGTTAAAGGCGACGGATGACATACTGTAAGCAGCGGATCGTGGTGAACTCACAACACTTGTCTTGCTTGACTATTCTCCGGTCTTCGACAAATTAAACCACCAATTACTTCTGGCTATTTTGCAGCACCTGGGATTTAAAAACGATGCTTGTAAACTTATCAAAAGTTATCTCACTGGAAGAAGTCAAACAGTAAAAATCCAAGGACAACAATCTACCTCTAAACGCGTTACAAGTGGTGTGCTTCAAGGTTCCATACTAGGGCCATTGCTATTTACCCTATACACGTCTCAGCTCACCTGCAATTTAAAATATGCTTCTATTCATTTATATGCCGATGACACACAATTGTACCTGTCCTTCCCTCCTTCCGAAATTTTAATAGCAAATGAGAAATTATCCTCTGATTTGGCTCTCCTCTGTGATATTTCTAAGGCGCACTCCCTGGAACTAAATCCAAAGAAATGCCAACTCCTGTTTTTTGGACGGTCCCAATGCAGAGATAGACATGAAAATTTTGTCAAAATAAGCCTCGAGAATGAACTGTTGAAATGTACTCATGTGGCAAAAAACCTAGGGTTATTCATGGATTTTCGTTTAAGGTTTACCGAGCATATTGACAATTGTATCAAGAAGGCGTTCATTAATTTAAAATTAATATATAGGAGTAGACACCTGCTGAACATTAACATCAAGAAAATACTTTGTAACAGCCTTGTTCTGTCACATTTCACGTTTCGTGACGTGCTCTACAGTTCATGCTTACTGTCACGTGAAAAGCGAGTACAGTATATTCAAAATTAGTGTGTGCGAATGATATCTGTGTTGAGAAAATACGATACAGGCATTAGCGCAAAACTGAAAGAAATTAAGTGGCTAGATATGAGTGAGAGAAGACGATTACATCACGGCATATAAATCAATCGGCAGGCTAACTCGCTTTGGCGGGAACGCTACGCGCATATCCTCGCGCACGCCGCCATTTGCGTTTCCATCAGCAGAAAGTAACCAGTGTCGTAGTTTTTTCAGCGACAACACACAGTTACGGCAGATTCGAGTCAGTAGCCTACGGCTTAATTTATTTTGATTTTTTCTTGAGTGATATATTTTGTTTTTGTTGTTTTATTTTTGTTTATGTGATATATTTGGTTTTTCTAGTTTTATTTTCGTTTCTTATGTAATATGATTTGTTTTAGTACTTTTATTTTTGTTGTTCAATAAAAGTTTCTTTCTGTTTCCTAGAGATCCTATTAGGTATGTATATATGTGATTAATTATTTTAACATATTTTAATTGTGAAAAAAACAGTAGTATACATATTAGGACATTCAGCTAAATAGGAAGACCTAATTAAAAATCTTCTAAAACAAACTTTAATATTAGTAAGATTTAATGTTAAATATTTAGTAAAATTTAATGTTGTATCTAGACATTAAAAATTAAATTTAAAAATCATTATATTATTAATTTAAATATAATTATAAAAGTAAATAAAATGAGTATATCGAAAATAAGTTAACAATACATTTTGAAAATATAAATAAGGCCCACAAAAGGTACAAGTTGTGTTCTGTTCATTTTGAATTTAAAATGTTTACCAATTCACTTTGTAACTGTATAAAATACAATGCGGTACCTACTTTGTTTCCTGCCATGAAAAAAATAGAAGTTCAGCATCAAAAGGGGCCGGCGAGGAGCCGGTGCGACCGATACAGTGTTGCCGGTTTTTACGGGTGTGGGCAAGGTAAAGCATAAGCATGGTGGGAGAACGCATTGATGAGAGGGGCGGTGCTTTATGTTAAGGTTCGTATTCACTATCCGAAAGAACAAAGGAATGAAATTCGGTATATTTGGACAGCAAACCGAATGCATGCGGCCGTTCGCCATTCGGTTCGCTCCCTCATCTGTTTCCATTCGGTATATCAAAGACGTTCGCAAACGAATGAGAATTATAGAACCGCGCGAACAAGACTGGACGTTCGCTCGTTGGATAGTAGCATTCGTTCGTTCGGATAGTGAATACGCACCTTTATGTAGATGAAAAGGTGGGGAAAGGAAATAGATCACCTGAGATCCAAACTATTTTTGCATCATTCTTTTCGCCTAGCTGTTTCGGTGTGTACGTTAAGTGTTTCAAAAATGGCTATTTATACGACCGAAGAGAAGGTGCATATCGTTAAATGGTTTTACATTTCCTCAAGTGTGGAAGAGGTCATTGGGCGTTATGTGTTCACCTTTCAAGATCGCCCTGTGCCTTATGCCACAACTGTACGCAACATTGTCCA